AAATAACTTGTTTCACAAAGAAACAATTTGACTACCCGTTTGTCATGTGTGAGTTATAATGATACAGATATACTTACATAGAGATCTTATATATAGTCATCTTAAGTTAATTCTGACAAAATATCTTTAATGCATTTTTTCACTATAATCGCTTAAAAAGAAATTCTTGCTCCAATTGGATCTTAAGTAGTTAAGTATATAGATACATAATTATCAGCAATTGTGATTTTTGCCCCCCAACTGGCCATATGCTTAAAGGATAAATGATACCATTTAATAAATGCAAAAAACAAGGCTCCAGGAGTTGACGGCATACCAATTGACATATTTCAACAAACAGACACTGGCCTGGATGTGCTCACTAAGTTGTGCCAAGAAATCTGGAGAACAGCCAGCTGGCCCACTGACTGGAAAAGATCGATATTTGTTCCCATTCCAAAGAAAGGTGATCCAACAGAGTGTGGAAATTATAGAACAATATCATTGATTTCACATACAAACAAGATTCTGCTGAAAATTATCCAAAAATGTTTGGAACAATATGTTAACAGAGAACTGCTATATGTGCAGGCTGGATTTAGAAGAGGTCGTGGTACTAGGGATATTATAGCTAATGTTTGATGGATCTTAGCAGAAAGCAAAGAATACCACAAGAATTTCTATCTGTGCTTCATTGACTACGCAAAGGCTTTTGACTGTGTGGATCACAATAAGCTGTGGCTGACTCTGAGAAGAATAGGAATCCCAGAATATTTCATTGTGCTAATGTGAAACTTACACTTGGATCAAGAGGCAGTTGTCAGAACAGATCAAGGAGACACTACATGGTTCAAAATCAAGAAGGAGGTTTGTCAGGGATGTATTCTGTCTCCATACCTTTTCAATCTGTATGCAGAACAGATCATCCGAGATGCTGGGCTGTATGAGGAGGAATGTGGAATCAGGATTGGCGGAAGAATCATCAACAACCTGCGTTATGCAGATGACACAACCCTGCTTGCTGAAACTGAGGAGGACCTGAAGCGCTTGCTGCAGAAGGTCAAGGACTGCAGCCTCCTATATGGACTGAAGCTCAACATCAAGAAAACAAAGATTCTAACCACTGGGCCAATTGGCAGCATCAGTATGGATGGTGAAGAGATTGAGATAGCTAACAGTTTTAATTTACTTGGCTCCACAGTCAACACTCTTGGTAACAGCAGCCAGGAAATCAAGAGACGAAATGCATTGGGAAAGTCAGCTGTGAAGGACCTCTCAAGAGTACTGAAGAGAAACAACATCAGACTGGAGACTATGGTGTGCCCGATCCAGGCTCTAGTCTTCGCAACTACGTGCTATGCATCAGAGAGTTGCACAGTGACTAGGGTTGATAGAAAGAGAATTGATGCCTTTGAGCTGTGGTGCTAGAGAAGAGTGTTGAATATACCATGGACTGCTAGGAGAACAAATAGGTTTGTCCTAGAGAGGGTGAAGACAGAATGTTCCCTGGAGTCAAGGATTCTGAAGCATCATCTGACATATTTTGGGCATGTTGCAAGGAGGGACTGGTCCTTGGAGAGGGACATCATGTTTGGCAGAGTGGAAGGGTGATGAAGGAGAGGAAGACCTTTGATGAGATGGATCAATTCTGTGACTGGAGAGGTAGGAATAAGTGCATTTGAGATGGCTAGGTTGGCACAGGATAGAAGAACGTATAGAGCTCTTTTACATAGAGTTGCTGTGAGTTGCAAGTGACTTGATGGCACATAACAGCAACAACAACAACAATAAATGCATTAGCTTCAGGATCATTGTTGATCTTTAGCTGTCCTAGGTTATATAATGATTCTGCAAGCATTAAAAAGGATAGTTTATTATTTCATAATATTCTAATCTGATATGAAGTGTGAATAAACTTACATGATCAAATATTTAACCAACTGTTTAGCATAAACCCATAAAACTAAAGAGCTTTGCCAGCTGTTTGAAGTAGAACTATAAAACTCAACTGTTTAGTCAACTGTTTTATATAAAGCTATAAAACTCTAGTAGTTCACTCTATATTAAAGCAGCAGGCAATGTATAAAATAATCAAGGTTCAGCTCGCATCTAAAAGTCCAGTCAGTCAATGTCTAAGTCAGTCAATGTCATTTTAAAACTTTTCCCCCTAATATAAGAATCCACACTTAAATATCAGGTTGGATTAAAAAAATATTAGAAAATAAAATGTAAAACTCTTATCTAAAAGAAAAATAGTTCCCTTCAACATCATTAAAATTCTGGTTATTCAAGGAATGCAAGGAATTATTCAAGGAATTAAGAGAATTCTGGCCACATCACATGTTTTCCACCCCATTGTCTATATATATATTTTAGGAATTCTTATAATCAGGCATCAAGTTACACAACACATAATTTTCCTTTGATTTCTGCGTTTGTTTTTCACAGAATGGATAAGAAGGGGTTTGTTAATTGTTGTCATAACTATCTTTTTAAACTCAATAGACAGAGAACATTGCTTCTGTCAAAGAGTTAATAAGTAAACACTTCACTGTGGGATCTCCAAATAGTTTTAATAGTTTACACTTTGTAAAACAAACTCCAAATTATACTGTAGAGGTATAACTAAAGTAGAAAACAAAAGAAAGCATGAAAAATAACTTATCATAACAGAAGCAGCAAATCAAATCTAACTTTCCTTCTAGCTAACATAATTCCTAGGAGAATCTATGTAAAATCAAAACCCGAGCAGTTGATCCAAACAGATAATGAGTAATTTAGTTTGATAATAGCAGATGGCATTAGAGAAATCTTCAGTGCTCCCTGGACCCACATCCCTTACGTCAGTCTGAACCGGGGAAAATAAGAAAAAAAAAAAAAGACAACCAACATTGCTTATCAAGTGAGTCATAAACTGAGAAGATAATTAGCATTCAATCGAAGATAGACTTTCAGAAGCCATTTTATCAAAATGAATAATACTCTGAGACTCAATAATCTTTGTCCTCTCTTCCTTAGGAGAAAGCTAAGCTTAATCTTGTTTATAGGTTGTTGTACATTATGTTAAAAGAACATTGGACTAGGGGTTAAATTGCATTACATTCACCTGGGTATTAAAATGAAGAGAAAAAGAGGTTCGTATTTTAACTCAGACATGTTTGCCAGCATAGGGAAAGTAGAGTAGTCTCCTTACAGAAGGGAATTTCAATTTACCAGAGTTTGGATGCCACAAGGCACTAAATACTGGTAGGGAACCTCTTGTCTAAGCAAATAGATTCATACAAAACTAACAACTCCACAACATATCCACCATAAAATAACAGGACCTGTAGAGATTGGCACATAGCAGCTCCAACAACTATTAGGGTAATTCATAAGCCATATGCAAGAGAGCTCTGGTGGCCTAGAGGCAAAACTCTGTTCTGCAATTCCAAAGGCATATTGTTCAAAACCACCAGTTGCTCCCCAGGGGAATGATGGGCAATGTCCTTCCACGCGATTAACCGGAAAATCAGCTGAAGCATCAGCTATGAGTCAGTTCCAACGCAACTTTACACAACAACGGTAACAACACAATGCAAGCTACAATGTAGTCAGTAAGGGACTGTGTTATTAGTGAAAGACCATGTCTCTCTAGCGGTTCAAATTCACTGGCTGCTCCCTCAAAGCAGGATGGGCAATCTCTTGCTCTGTGATTTACAGCCTCTGGAAAAGCCACTAGAGGATCAGCTATGAATCAGTTCTGACTTAACAGCAATGACTGACTTTCGGATGTGACACAAGCAGTTTAAGGCACAAGCAGCTCAAGGCTTTGGAATTGAGAGTAGCAGCTATACCGACTGAATGGTCTCCGATCAAAGGCAAGAACCACGCCGAGGTAGAGGGAGAATTCTTCTAAGTTTACTGCACACCAAGCTTCTCAACAAGGGGCATAGCACTGGGGGTTGCCTTAGAGGTTTTATATGAGGTCATTGCAGTGGCTCATTGGTGCATAAAGTGTCTGGTCTTGGGAAACTGGTTCTGTGGAATGTCCTGCCATAGGATTTTCTGAGTTCTGGTGTTAGAAAAATGTCCTGACTTAGGATTTCTAAGTTCTGGTTTCAGAAAAAATGTCCTGACATGGGATTTTCTTGTTTCAGAAAATATCCTGACATAGGATTTTTGAGGTGGGCTTCAGCCTTCATTTTGATTTTAGCCTAACACCTACGTTAGAGTTATGGTCAAGTCTATGAGTCGATTGTTGGGTGGCTCTTACAGGACTAGAAAATGAGAAATTGTGATTTTGAAAAATGAAAAGAATACAGTTGCCCTCGTTCCACAGTACCTCATGGCAGCCCTGTGAGCCAAAGCAGAACTGTGCCTCATAAGATTTCCAATGGCCGACCTTTTAAAGGTTGATTTCCAGGACTTTCTTCTAGGACATCAGTGAGAAGATTCAAACCACCACCCTTTCACTGTGCATTAAGTTAAGGTTAAACTACTACCATCATCATTTTTGTGTGCCGTCAAGTCAGAACTGACCCATAGCTGACCCTCCAGCAGGTTTTCAGAGGCAGTATTATGCGATTAACTGCCTTAGAAAACCGGTTGGAGGGTCAAGTATGTATTGGGTCCGACCCAATGACACACAACAACAACCACCTCTACCAGATTATAAAGTACTGAGTCTGAATCTCTAATTCCTATCATACAATATCTACACAATTAGTATCTGTTGAATGAATGATGAATAAATTAATAATTATCACATAATAACATAATATTTTAAGTTAAACTTATTTCTTAATTTATTTTATAATCAATAAAAATCTAATTGATCTCTTAAATACACATCCTGAAGAGAATAGGAAGAGAATAGGATCCATTACTTTTTTTTTTTTTAAAAAAAAGGTAAAAATTGCCAGTCGTTTTGTTTTCTGTGGATTCACAATCAATATCCAGTGTAGTGGCAGTCAAGTAATCAAAAGGCATGTTGCATTGAGAAAGATTCTTTCTTTTGTTGTTGTTATTTTGTTTTAAAGGATGTTTGATGTAGGTGGACAACGATCAGAGAGGAAGAAATGGATTCACTGCTTTGAAGGTGTGACATGTATCATATTTTGTGCTGCGCTCAGTGCCTATGACATGGTCCTAGTGGAGGATGAAGAAGTGGTAAGTCTAAAAATGCAGCGACTGTGCTTTCCAGTAGCACTGCTGTTTCCCTACTCAATGAAGGACGCATGTTATGTCTAGATCTTTGCTGTTGATAGTATTTATATTTAACAAATAACAACTCTCCTTATGCTCTCATCCCGTGTGCCTAACAGAACAGAATGCATGAAAGCCTTCACCTCTTCAACAGCATCTGTAATCACAAGTATTTTGCAACCACCTCCATTGTCCTGTTTCTCAATAAAAAAGACCTCTTTCAAGAAAAAGTAACCAAAGTGCATCTTAGTATTTGCTTTCCAGAGTACACTGGTAAGATTCCTTCTCTTAAACCCCATAGTAATATTTTTTATAAACATATTTTCCCAATTGCTTGACACTTAATGTTTGTGACCATGAGGCTTATAATTTTTGAGACTTTTGTACAATATGCAGAAGGAAGTATATAATTACATAGGAACCCTCTCCGCAATGATTCTGTTAAAATGAAACACTAATGAATAAACAGAAAGTGATTAAGTAGACCAGAATTATTGTTCTATATATGAAATGACACTGAAAATTGTATGATCTTCAATACTGTTGTTGTTGTTGTGTACTGTTGAATTGCAACCGACCATAGCTGACCCTCCAGTTTTTAGAGGCAGTTAATTGCACAGGAAGGTATTACCCATCCTTCTCTAGTGGATTCAACCCACGTACCTTCAGGTTTGCTTCTTGCCACTAGGCCACCAGTGTTCTCCTCTTCAGTATTGTAATAGAAATATACATTTTATTCCAAATTAGAAATATTAATATCTTATAATGTTGTGTTCTATCTCAGTGGCCTTTCAAAGTCTGAATTAACTTTTCAGAAGAACAGAACAAATGCCTCTTGAGAATAATGGCATCTTCTTTTTTTTTTCTGCCTTATGTATGTATTAGATTGCCAGTGCTGATCCTGTTAGGCAATGATGCTAAATGTCAAAGTACAGAGAAAGATTGTTTTCATTTCAGGACCAACCTAAAAAATTATTGCACATAGTTGGATGCTTTGTTATTAAAGAAATTATATGAGATGTGATAGTTCTTTTAAGTGCAAATAGAAATACACTACCACCATTCACTTATAGGAAGCCGCCCAGATGTTATTATAATCAGAATAGTCTGTCAAAACAGATATCAAGGTAATTAACTTACAGTTCTCAAAAGTCATTGCCAGTAAGTACAACCATGTGATAGTTTACCCTCCTCCGGGTTTCTGAGGTGATAAATTGCACTGGAGCAGACTATCCTTCTTCCTTCCTCTGACTCATCGGTGAATTCAAACCACCAGAGGCCCAGCCTCGAGGCTGACAGTGCAGCTCCCTTTAGACTACACTTCACCACAATGTTGCTTTGATAAAACATCAGCCAGAGAAAGTCTCCATAACTTTTCACATTTCATCTCAGCTTCTGTCACCACAATGGGTTTCATCTCTTCTGTTTTATTTTCTCCAATTCCCTCCAAACTCTTCCATTTCTATCTAACAAATTTCTCCAAAATTCACATCCACTTCTCAATCCTAGTCTTACATATTCTGGTAGAGTCAATTCCACTTTTTTATTCCCTCCTCAGAGTATTTACCTTGCCCTTTTCAACTATCTATCAAGATCTTACTCAAAAATCTCATGGTAAAGCCTGATTGGGAGACTGGATGTCCCAGTATTTGGCTGCTAAAGGAAAGGTCATTGGTTGGTAACCATCAACTGAGAAAAATGTGGCCTTTCACGTCAGTAAGATTTACAACCTCAGAAGCCCAGTGGGGCTCTTCTGTTTTGTCCTATAGGGTTACTGTGAGCCAGAATCAACTTGACACATTTTTAAAAAAAAATCCTATCCATCTTGTTCCAGGGTAGATAGATGGGTAATCAACCCCCATGAGATTTATTGCCTCTGAAAACCCACTGGAGGGTCAGCTGTGAATCAGTTCTCACTTGAGGGAGCACAGCAACAACGTTCTTTAGTAATATCCACTATGTTCCTCTTTCCATTCATGTTAAAACATGTGTATGTGTGTGTGTGTATATATATATATATATATATATATATACACACACACACACACACATACACATATATAAGCATAGGGTATATTCAACACTTAAGTAAACGTATATTGTTCATTAACATTGTGTAAATACTTTAGTATTTCTATGGGATTGTAAGATTTTGAGACTGAGGTCACATTTTCGTCATCAGAAACCTTCCGTAGGGTTACGTTTTCAGCACAAAGTATCCACATAACTTTCTGATAATTAGCCCTCTCTAATTTTGTTTGCAATGCTGAGTCCAGGAAACAGTAGCACATGAAGTAGTAGTCTAAATTGTTAGAGCTTATCAGTAATTCTTATTGATTTAATCTTTGTAAAAGACAACAGATGTTTATTTCCTTACACAAAAATATGTATTTATACATTTTTTTTTACAAGGACCAAATACATTCGAAGATGCTGGGAACTACATCAAGAATCAGTTTCTAGACCTGAATTTAAAAAAAGAAGATAAGGAAATCTATTCCCACATGACCTGTGCTACAGATACCCAAAATGTCAAGTTTGTGTTTGATGCAGTTACAGATATAATCATCAAAGAAAATCTGAAAGATTGTGGTCTTTTCTAGCCAATTCTTTTCTTTTTCATGCTTGCTTTTAGAGATATAAAAAAAGGTGCTGTGTGACATGTTTAGCTTGAATAGCTATTATCACATGTAGTTGTATAACTAGGATCAAGCAAAGAATTTTCACAAAATCTTTTATGCATTGTCATCTGGACATAAGAATGTTTCTGAAACATTAAATATGGGAGTGTATTTTATGTCTTTAAGTATAAAATTTATATATTTTGGTAACTCAGAACAATATAAACCAGTGACACTGGATTTGCTTTGAAGTAAATGTCTGCATGTGACCAATTCTCAATCATAAAAGAATGAAAAATTCAAGACTTTTCATACTGTTGCCATTGGCCATACTTTAAGAGCACTCATTTTTATTCATAATGCAATGCTGTCTATACCAGAAACTATGAATTAATGGAATATGAAGTATTTTATTACTCAATCATCTCCCTGTTTAACAAAGTGAAAATGACAAATTTCCTACACATTTTATTCATAAGCAATTGCTCATGCAAAAGAAATACACTTAATTTTATTTATGGTATGCATTTCTCTTAAAAAAGATCAGTAATGTTGACTTTGCCATTAGTTTTTCAGTAATATATCTACTCCATACTAAAAAGAACATTCAAAATTTGCCCTGATTGAGGAGTTCTAAGGTATTTGAAGCCTAGGAAATTTCCTAACTCTTCCACTGATTTTATCAGCAGTCAGAGATACCTAAAAGCCAACATAGTGGCTGTGCCAGTGCTTAAGTAGACCACACAACCCTAGAGATAATAATTCCCCTCACTCCCTTCAACCTCCGCTGGTTGATCCCGGTTCATAGTGAGCGTCCGCTAGGGTCTGTCTGTGACTGTAAGCCATAATGGAGGAGCCTGGCTGGCCATCTTTCTCCCAGCGCTGCTAGTAGATTCAAACTATCAGAGAAACACTGTATTTTTGTGAGCAGTACACTTTCCTATGGACTACATCACTAGAGCTCCTTTACCAGTAACTGTTACAGTTTACCATCAAGTAGGCACCAAACCATAGCTGACCCTCTAGTGGGTTTTCAAAGGCCATAAATTACACAGGGGGAGATTGCTCATCTTTCTCCCATAGAGCATCAGAGGGGTTCAAATCGCTTACCTTTGAGTTGAATTTGTTACTGCTAAGACACTTTTTGTTGTCATGTGCCATTGAGCTGATCACCTGATGAACAATGGCTCTGAACCATGCTCTATCCTGAGCCAACCTTATGGTTTCTGACCCCCCTGACACACCCCATTCCCACATCACTATTCCCACAGTCACTATGTCAATCCATGTCCTCCAGCACCTTTCTTTTCTGCGCTGACCTCTACCCTACCGAGCATGACTTCCTTCTTCAAAGATTGGTCCTTCATGGTCACAGACCCAAAGTATGTGAGACACAGCTTCAAAATCCTTGCCTCCAAAGAGCAAACTCGTTTCACCCTCTCCAGGATGGACTTATTTGTTCTCTTGACAGTCCATAGCATGTTCCATACTCATGCCCAGCACAGTAACTCAAAGTCATCTTTCTCCCTGGAGCAGTTGGTGAATTCCAACTGGATGCTTTTGCATTGGTAGTATAATTTCTCAACCACTAGTGGCAAGGAAGAAGCTGTGCTGCAAGCCCAAAGGCCGCAGTTCGACTCCACCAGCTGCTCCACTGGAGAAGGATGGTCAGTCTCCTCCCGTGTTATGAATTGCCTCTGAAAATCCACCAGAGGGTCAGCTATGGGTCAGTTCCAATTCAATATTACACAGCAACAACCACAACAATAACAAGGCCACCAGAGCTTCCTTCCTAACCCACTAATCCTAGTAATTAGAAGCACATGTCACCAAATCCCTTGACAATATATGTCAAGGCACATTATAATAGAGAAAAATAAAATAGGTCTTTACCATAGGTGTTTATAAAATAAAATACATTAGAAAAATAAGAATGATAACAATCCTTAAAATGGAATTATTTAAAAATTTTTCATTTTCCATCATTTCTTGACAATGTATGTCAAGGCACATTTTAACAGAGAAAAATAAAATAGGTCTTCTAATAGGTGTTTGTTGTTGTCGTGTATTGTTGAGTCGAAACCAAAGCTTAGCTGACCCTCTTCCCAGTTTTCAGAGGCAGTAAATCGCAAAAGAGAAGATTGTCAATCTTTCTTCACAGAGCGACTGGTGGCCTCTCATTAGGTGTCTTCAGTACTGCATGCAGTTTTCTTGCCACTAGGCCACCAAACCTCGCTAATAGGTGTCTCTAAAATAAAATATAAAAATAAAAAGGAATTATAGCAATCCTTAAAATGGAATCCATTTTCCAATTTTTGTTTGTTTTTGGTACAAAAATTAGGCATTGATGCACAGAATTTGTGTTGGTCGAAGGAATTGACAAATGAAACATGCGAAGCTTTTCTTTTCCTTTAAAAAACTCCCACTGAGAACAATTTTCAGTCAGCCAGCTTTGAAGCACCTGTTTCACTTGGAAATTTGGCCTTCTAACTTTTGCATACAGAATCACAAAGAGCCAACTTTATAGCCTTTGCCATTCAAAATTCAAATCTGATTATATTAATATTTTCTCCTAGTGTTGAGTCTTCATTTCTCAATTCAGAATGTCCCCCAAATCTGCTTGCCTTCAGTCTTAACTCTCGTATTGCATTTATTTCTAAATTTTGTGCAAAACTATCTGGTGTGGGCTTATATTTAATAAGGTTGTTAACAAGCTGTGGCCAATTTCCAGAAGCATACACTGGTCAATACAGGTGAGTCTCTCCATCTTTGGGATGAGCGACTATAAGGAGAAATGAAAAAAGAATTTAAAAAATGAGCAATAAATTGTCATTACAAAAGTTGTCAAATCTATGAAGCATCTTTTTGGAACATAAACCTCAAATTCTGCAGAATCTCACAAAAGCATGTCCAATATGTTATTGTATATTAAATACAAATAATATTTCATTTTCAACAAATAATGGTCCTCATGTAAATAATATAAATAAGCAAACTCGTTTTTTCAGGACTTCAGCCTGTACTAGTATAAATAATCTTATGTGAGTCATCATTTTATTTTGAAATGTATTTTAAGTTGCTTATAGATATTGCTTAGGTTTGACTTAATCAGACACTATGTGTGCATATGAGGGGGAAATTTACCTTTTGTGTTGATTTATGTGGTTTTAGTGTTTAGTACAGCAGTAGCACAGATAAATAATGGATTTAAATGTCTGACCATGAAAACTAATGTAATTGAAAAAAAACGTTAAAAGAAATTGTAAATCCTTTATCTGAGACATACTTTAAAACAAAGATCCAAAAAATAACAAACAAGTTGCCACTGAGTGAACACCAGCTTAAGGTGAGTGACCCCATGCATCTCATAATACAATAATGTTCCAAACTGGGTTTTTGAAAGTAGTTTTCCAGATCTTTTTCTGAAGACACCTCTGTATGGACTCAAATCTCTAGTCTATTAATTTGCAGCCAAACTCCTCAACATTGTGCACCAACCAATGTAAAATAGGAAACTATTTTCTTAACCTAGAATAAGCATGGGTTTGCTACTAGAACCAAGTAAGACCTACTTTTCATTTGTGTCTTTTCCAACAAACTGCAAACTAGTCCACAGTCACATGGAGCAAACCAACATCATGAGTTTTCTACCACATGTCACCAGTGTAAGAAATTTGGATTATAAATAACTCTGCTAAAGAAGGAAGTAGAATCTTGTTTATAATCATAGGTCATTTTGTGCTGCCAGCTCAGTAGTATATTATTACCATCTTATGCAATATTTAGTAAAAAGTGAATGAATAACAAAGTTACTGAAACAGAGCTTCGAACTTGTATGTTGCTGTTGTGTACCAGAGTTGTGTACCATAGCTGACTCTCCATTCAGAGTCAGTTAATCGCATGGAAGGAGACTGACAATCTTTCTCCTGTGGAGCAGCTGGTGGCCGGAACAGTGTGCCTTCAGGATTGCAGCACAGTATGGAGCATGTTATTCTGGTATGCAGATACATGATCATTTCTTCCCATGTTCTTATTATGTTTTTGCAATTTCTAACCTTTGTTTAAATATAAGTAATTATAATTTTGAAAAAAATGTGCCTTTCCATATTGCTTTGTATCTAAAATCTGATTAGCTAAGCATGAAAAGTGGAAAAAATAATTTGATGTCTGACAAGTATTATGTTTTGTTTAAAGCAATGAGCTGGCTTCTTACTAATTTGTGTTCTTTTCAGTAAATCAAATTAAAACTTCATTCTGCTACAACATTCACCATGTCATGATTCTGTTTATTCCAACTTTGCCATTATCTACGGTTTCACCCAATCTAGAGGAAAATTAATGCCTTGACTTTTTCCTTTGACTACTACAGCTGTTATCAATACAGTAGTGTATTGTATAGTGTAGTGTATACTTTCTTTTAAATTACACCAGAAAAATAGTTAATACAGAAATATGAAAGAAAATGGAAATGAGAAAGATCTGAATTTATTTCAAACAGACAAGAATAATCCTCTAATTATTATACTTTTTTAGATAAAAAATGCTATACAAAGTACATCCAAGCAATGCAAGTACTTAATATAAAAGATTTATAATTTATAGTCACACCCAGACAAACCCAGATAAAGACATATGATGGAAGTCTTTTTACCACAGTATATTGGTGAAATATATTTTTTAAAAACTTGGTCAAATATTAAATATTTTCTTCTTTAAAGTGTTCAAATATACACAGATGAGGGACTGAATAATTTAAAAGCAATGTATAATCGGGTATTATGGTTATGACAAGAGTCACAATTAAGGTTGCATAGTGGAATGTACTTGGGGCGGTGGGAGGGGTGCGGGGGAATTGTGTACCAGGGAGGGAGTCTTTCTTGTACTTTTGAAAGAGAGGAGTGAACTGGGGAGAGGGCTGGGCGGGTAGAGAAGTGCAGGAATGAATGAATGGAAATCCAAATTCTCTGTAGATGTTCATTAAA